CCTGTGCCATCACCCCTATATTTTTGTGTGTGTGTGTGTGTGTGTGTGTTGGGTTTTTTTTTTCCCCCCTCTCCCTTGAATCCAGAGCAAACTTCCCTCTCTGCTCACCCCCCTCCCCACCGCCATGTCCCAGTCCGTCGGCTCCCGATTGGCAGGGAAACCCAACCCCCCCCCTCCCCGCCGAGCAATGGCTGCTCCTGCAGCAGCCCCAACAAAAGCCAACTGCCAAGCACCGCCCGCTTCACAATAAAAGTCTCGCTGGCTCCATGTCTGATTTCTTTCCTCCTCCTTCCTCCCTTTTTTCCCGCAGCCATCCGCCTCCATTCCCGATTATGATTAACCTGGAGAGCCTCCACAAAGTGTACACACCATCAGCAACGAAGCATCATCGCCCCCCCCTTCCCTTTTAATTTGAGGTTTCAAGGGAGAGAAGAGAAATTATTGCATCTTAAGCAAGACTGATTAGGTCTTTGAAAGGGCTTGAAAAGCCATGAGGATCCAAGCAGAGGAGCTAGGGCTGGTTTAGTTTTCCCTCTTCAGCTCTTGTTTATAAGAAAGCAGGCTTCCTCTGCTCGGCGAGGTCTTTGGAGGGGATGGAAGACAGGTCAGACCAGCCAAGGAAAGGCTCTGCAGCATTTCCAGACAGACAACCACAAGAAACTACATGGTGCCTTTAAAACAAAAAACAAACAAACAAAAAGCCGATAAAAAAAAAAAAGAGAAGAGGAAAAGAGCAAAGCTGGGAAACACAGAAAGAGCTTTCTCAGCCTCCTCCTTGGCATTTTCCTCAGCCATCCGGGTGCCCTTCGCAAAGGTCCAAACAGGTTTGATAGGCAAAGACAACACATGCACAGCAAAACCCCAACGCACTGCAGCTTACCAAGCCCAGGGGACCAGAGTTACATGATGACCCAGAGCTCTCTCCAGGCAGAGCAGGAAGGAGCCGAGGTTGATGTGCCAAGATGTCTACCTTCACCAGGGTCTTTTTTTTTTTTTTTTTTTAATGTCTTAAAAATCAACCGTGTAGGAACCCGAGGCTTCGCAGCAGCGTTTCTCTGATCGGAGCCATGCAGCTAAAGCAGGTCAATCTGGGAGAGGGCTGGGAGCAGGAGGACCCCTCCGAAACTCTGCTCGCTCCCATGCGGGGCAGCAGCTGCACCAACGCATCTGCGGTGGGACGGGCAGGACCGA